AGACCTGACTCACCCGTGTGTAAAAAAAACCCAAAACAAACAAACAAATAAAACATGCAAAATTGACACAAAAAAATCTGCGAAACGGCGAGACCGTGAAAGGTGAACCGTGATATAGTGAGGCACGACTGTAGCTCAATGTCGAGACCCCGACCTCCCACCCCCGGTAAGGTGTCCGGGTTTTCACAAATGGAAATATGGTCACCCTAAAAGTAGGTATATTTGCATGTTTCTATCCACTGCGATTTCATGTAGTTGGTGACATCACGCACCTCTACCCTAATTAAGTCCAAGTGTTTCTGATAACAAAAACGTGGCGGCAGGGGCAGAGTTTTGAAGTGGAGTTACTTTTTAGTCCAATGGCATTGCTCCTCACACGTCTAGACTACACCGCTCCTCTACCTTCACTCTCTTCTTCCTCCAGGTGCTGCCAGGTTTAGCAGCTCTGTTTGAAATGCGGTTTTAGGAGGTGTTTAGTCACACTTTAAAATTGGCACTGTTTACCCATTTTTCCTTTCACCAAGTTAGGTTCTTTGTATCTTCCCCGAGCAGTATACTTTTCTCTTCGGAACAAACAAAGACCTTTTTGAACTGAATTTCATTGTTACTGTTTAAATAATAGCAACCTTAAAATTACAATTGCTATAGCGGTGGTTAAACTGAGAAGATTAAAACAAAAAAAAGCAATAAGCAAAGCAATTTTTTTTCTTTTTTTATGTCTCGTCTTTAACTTTTTTATGACAATTAAATAAGTTAAGTCCCCCCAAAGCGATTGAACTTCTTGGGGACAACATTAAAGATTGTCCTCACATACTCTTAATGATAATTGTGGTTGTCAAAGCAGTGACTCAGCGCAGCTTATTCAGTGAAAGAGTGAAAGTGCTGAGTAATGCTCCGTTGTGGGTCTGACCTGTCACAGTGGCTGCTCTCCTCTTTCTGACACTCGAAAGCACAGGGAGGAGACATGCAGCCTTAGATAGCCCCTGTAAAGCAGCTGACAGCCACTGGGCTTTTGGAAGTGGATCAGTGCATTGTGGTGAGCAGGACCCCCACCCCAAGTGAGTCTGACATGTTGGGCTTAAGACACAAGACCACCCTTTGACCTTAACTGTGTAACTTTTTTGGTTGGGGTCCATCACCTGCCTGAAATATAGGCAAGTTTCATTGTTGACAAAAGTGTGCGTTGCATGCTGGGAATTATTTGTGAGAAAGCATGTAAAAGGTATTGATCCCGGTTATGTATCCACTCTAACAGCAGAGGACCGAAGATGATTTGATCAGAAACTGGACATAATCATCGATGGACGCCAAATCACCCTTTTCAACCCCGACAAAAGGTGGACTAAACCAAATTTCTGGTCAGAATCTCCAACTACCTGGACAAATATTCACTTGGGCGATATCCACAATGACTTGGTGGAAACTCCTGGGTCATTCACAGCAGAAAAGATGAAAACCTCCAAGAGTCTCAATGTGTTGTTGAACTTGTTGGAGTCCACAGTTTGTTAGGATCTTCTACGTTTGTTCTGCGGATGTTTGAAAGACATTTAATTCACCGTTAGCAGTTCTTTCCATTCAGACTATGAAAAAGACATTTTCCTTCTTCTGTGCTTCTATTTATGCATCTGATAATGCAGCAGGAATGTACCATTATCGGGGATAAATACGCGAGATTACGCACTGTGTTTGACCGCTATCCTGTTCTTGCCTCCGACCAAAATATTTCCCAGCATGCAACGCGGGCTTTTAATAACAATGACATCAGCTGAAACTCGCCTATTCAATCAATCAATCAAACTTTATTTCTCGCACCTTCCAATGACCAAAGCCGACCAAAGTGCTGTACAACATTAAAACAAGATAAAAAACTATAAACATCATACAAACAGGTCAACAAAGAACATTACACGATTAAAATAAAGAGTCACAGGGCCACTAAGGCGACCTTCAGACTGGTCGGATGAATGCGCTTTGGCCGTTCACACTGAAGTCACATGTCAAAAGATCAGATATGTATCAGTTTCAGGAGCACATATCCAAGTGTCCTGGGTCACATTTGAAAAAATCGGATCTGTGTCGTTCAGACTGTCATTAAAAGATCAGATACAGGAACATAGAGGCCAAAAAATCGCATTTGGGTCACTTCAGGCTGCAGTCTGAACGCAGCCTAACTTGAGTAACAGAGCATCAGACAGAGCAGTGCCGACAGTTAGCTTCACGTCCCCACGAAATCTTAATGACATCAGCTTCAAGATTTCAATATGGACAGTGGACAGCATTGACGCTGATTAATGATACAAATGCTGGGGTTTAGGTGACGATTCAGATCAGAAAGATTCTTTTTAAGTTTAAACCAACTGGATTTCAGCATTTGAGCAACACAGATGAGAGACTTTAGTGTGAGGCTCAATCAGCTTTCTGATTAGATAATGGTCTCGAGAAACAAAACACCAAATTATAACAACACGACCATCAGGTTCAGTGTCTTTGTAATTAAGAATAAATCAGCATTACAAGTATTACCAGCAAGAGAAATATTTCATTTGAACATGTTAACCTTGTAGCTGGGGACACATTAAAATCTAAATCTTATACGCAGTTCCTTTAACTTCATCACTGGGGACATGCGTGTTCAAACACCCCTTTGTTTGTGGTATTTTGTAGACAACATTAAGTATCTTTTAATTGGGGCCTCCATGGAAAACCAACTGGACAAAAACATCCAAAGCGCACAATTATCTGAGAGTAAATGGTGATCCAGTGTATGGCTGCGTTCAGACTGCAGCCTGAAGTGACCCAAATCTGATTTTTTGGCCTCTATGTGACCTGTATCTGATCTTTTAATGACAGTCTGAACGACACAGATCCGATTTTTTCAGATGTGACCCAGGACACTTGGATATGTGCTCCTGAAACTGATACATATCTGATCTTTTGACATGTGACTTCAGTGTGAACGGCCAAAGTGCATTCATCCACCTACACGTTATCAACAAGCCACAAACGTCACTATTCTGCGCTGAAGTAGGCGAAAATTGTTAATGAACTCCATGTCACTGAAGTGAAGCACATCACTCACTCACCACTCTTGGATACGTTTGCACATCCACACGTTCCTTTCAACAGGACGTCGCTGCCGCTGTCCCACAAAACACCACGACCAAAAACCTCGTCCTTCTCCTTCTCAATCTCCTCCTTAAAACAAGTAAGTTGTTCATGTTCTGGCTCCGGTACGAGAGGAACTTTAAAATCTCCAGGTGCTCGATGCTGCGTCCATGTTTGGACAACTTCTGTAAACACAGAGACGCTCGCTGTGGTTGACGTCATCGTGTCTCCAGTGCACATGTGGGACACTTTCGGGCCATTTAATGTTCACACTGGAGTCACATACAAGCAGTGTTGGGGAGTAACAGATTACATGTACCGGACTTACATAATCAGAGTACAAATTATGAGTAACTGTATTCAGGTACAGTTACTGTTTCAATGAGAGGTAATTAGATTACAGTTACTTTGTTGAAATAAATGGATTACATGGCGGTATTTTCCTGTTTTCACATTTTGGGCTATATCCCTTTTTTTGGTTGGTTTGTTTGTTTGGTAATTCCACTCATTGCTGGACACTAAACCAGGTCTAAAACCAGGTCTAAACCAGGTCTAAAACAGGATTTAACAGGACTAAATCATGCTGCGCAGACCATGTCTCCTCTTCTTCTATCAATAATATTTTTAATTTGTGTTTAAGTATGGGGTATGTAATCTGTAATCTCTAGGGGAATACATTTTAAAAGTAACCTTCCCAACACTGCATACAAGTCACATTTAATTGGAAATGTGAAGGACCTCGCAAAAACATCAGATTTCACAAAAAAATCGTAATTGAGCATTAAGCCCTGCAGTCTGAACGTGGCCTAAATCTACTGGAGTCCCAACACTGAGCTCTCTATTGCACAGGTGCACCAACTGTCAGAAACCTAATGTCTTAATGAATCCACAAAATCTCTTCCAGAAGAAAGGCAGTGAGAAAAGTTTGACTTGTATGCTGGTGTGTGTGTGTGTGTAGGTGTGTGTGTGTGTGTGTGCGCGTGTGTGTGTGTGTGTGTCAGTGTGTGTCAGCCAACAAGAAGACCTACTCTGGCTCTTTGTTTATTTCAGGAATAACCATGCCGATATGAAGGTGCATTTGTGCAGGATAAATAAATGCAAAATGTTTCTGGTCTACAGTCACAACTTTTTTTGTTTTACTGTTAAATGGCTAATGTGATTTTTTTGTATTTTTATTTTATTTATTTTGCATTAGTTGTGGCAGTAACGGATAGCTCATTGATTAAATCACAACCCTAAAATGTTCAGATTTATTTTACTTTGTCGTGTTTCAGATTCATGTCCATTTTATTCCAAGGTTACGGAACAAATAGCATTTTTTTTGCTTTAATGAAAATGACATTAATGGAACTATTCATAACTCTAGGACAAAAATAAGTAGCCTGTGTAAATTTGAATTTGTGAACGACATTGTGGAAATCAGTGCAAAGGAACAAAGAAGCATATTTTGTCCTGTGCGTGTTCAAGTTCAACGGTGCAGTTTTGGACATCCTGTCAAGAGCGGGCAGCGGCAGTGCTGAGGCAGGACATGGAGGAGGAGGAGGCGGTGTGTTCCGCTTGGGCAGCCGGTGCTTTGCAAGTGTGTGCTTAAGGGAAGGTAGACGGCACACACAGCTCTCCCGACTCTGCCTCCTCTGTGAACCACCCGGGTGTGCGCGCCTGCCTGCCTGTCTCTCTCTCTCTGTGTGTGTGTGTGTGTGTGTGTGTACGGCTCATCTGGGAAAGGGAGGGAGACGGGGGAAACGCGCGAAAAGGTTTTCTTGGCGCATCCGCAGGAGCTCACCGAGGCACCACTTCCCAGGATGCAACCCGCGAGACGCCACGCCGCCAGCCGCTCCCGCCACTCGCACTGAACTGAACTGAACGGGACGCACGGGGGGGGAGGAGGAGGAATCGGACGTTATGGAGGAGTAGACACAAACAACCGGATGAGCCCGTGATCGTAGACGCCGTCCGCCTCGCCGTCAGTTTTTACGCACGAGTGTCACGGATGTTATTTTTGTCCCGGAGCGTCGCCCGCAGCTCTCGGTGATGTTTGTGTGCCGCAGCGTGTCTGAGGACAGGACGGGACCACAGTGAGGAGAGAGGACCTGCAGATCCGGGGACAGGGACAGGTATGGCGCGTGTATGTCTGTCATTCGATTCATCGGTCTGGGTTTTAGCGGTCGTGTGGGACTGGGTAGAGCAGCGTCCGAACTTTCCACGCATGATGTGCACGCCCAACATGTGTGCACCTGCAAGTGCTACTGAGAGAGGACGTCAGGGTAAAGTAGCTCCGCACAACTGAGGACACGGGGGCATTTTCCAGTTTTAGTTTTAATCATTTAACATTTTAAAGTGGCCACCGTGGTTTTTTTTATTTTTTATTGTTTAACATGGTTAGGCAATTAATATTAGAAACATTATCATAGTATATTGTTGAAATGATCCATTCATGATATTTAAAACTCAAATGTTAGACTAGCTCACCTTGCATGTGAAAAAAATGACAAGACAAGACCACTGAGATTGAGTTGAGATTTTTCCAGTTCTTAGATACCACAGTGTGCCTCTATTATATAAGTTTGTAGCCTATTTTGGACATGAGTTTATTTTACCCATGATGAAAATGTATTTAACCCCAAAATCTACATGGGTTCTTTGTATCTGGAAACTGAATCTGCTAAAATGTTGTAATGTTGCCTTTAATTCACAGTGTTTCTTCAGCTGCAGTGCTCAGGAGTTTAAGTTTTGATCAGAGTGGGACATGTTTTGCAGCTTTATGAAGTAACATAAGCAGTAAATATCCTTACAAAGTGGTTTGGCGAGCATATTGACTAGAGGATATTGCCATAACCGACTTGAACCCTGGCCATGTTGATCCTGATCGGATTCTCCCTCTGCTGTGGTGTGGTGTGGTGGTTGTGTTGATGTGGTGGTGGTGGCACTGGAATAATCTGAGTCTATTCCAGACGAGTGCAGATGTTTGGTAATCCCATCGCTCACCCTGCCTTCCCTAATCTCACCGGATTTGATGATTATGCTGACCATGACCACCCTTAGCCACAGGAAGTCTGTGGTGAAGCCTGGAGTGCTCGAGGGCACTGCCATTAAGAGAGGAAAGGCAGAGAGCACGACTCGAGCAATTCTTAAAAGGAACAACATGCTTCAAGTACTGGCTTGATGGTGCTGATGCTCTGATGTTGTTGTAGTGCTTTTCATTACTTAAGCAATGCAAATTAAATACATTTATTGAATAAACAACACATTAAGATTTGTTCAGGCAAACTGTTGTGTATTGGAACAACAGGAATATTTCTAGTATGTTACTAGTAGTATTATTTCTGTTAGTAGAAGCAGTAGCAGTAATAATTGGTGGTTTTCAGATTAGATTGTGATGATGTCATGCTCCCAGATGACATGAGCCGGTCTTCCTTATTGATTACAATGCGCTTTGATAAGAGTAATTTAAAGGGGAATTCACAAATGTTGAACTTGCTTTAGTGAGACTAGACCCAAGAAACAAGCATTTTGCCCATCTATATGCAGTAATACTTGTCTATAGAATGTTGTCATCTGAAACCCATAGCAATAGTTGTAATAGTGAGTGTAGTTTTGAGTTGCACATCATCTTCTCATCTATATTGAATTTTGTAAACAAACAGCATGAGCTCCTAGCCTACTGAACTTCTATGTCTAATTGATGTGTAGCACATATATTTTTTGTTTAAGTACAACATGCATCTGTAACTTTTTCCACAAAGTGCTTACTCCAATGAGAACTCAAAGCAATTCAGTTGACTGTTGTACGGTGGAAAAACGCTAAAATAAGCCTGTCACGGGGCGCTTCTTCACAGCCACTGTCAGGGAAAAGTGTCAGATGTGAGGATAACAGTGCAGAGCATGTGCCGCACACAAGCCAGGCCCGCCTCTATCTGATGGTGCACAGTGTTGTTCACGAGCGCCGCTGGAGCTGAGGAGGAGGAGGAGAGAGAGCGAGAGAGAGGGGGAGGACTGCACACACTGGGATCTGTTAGCACCACTTCTCATCCAACCTGACAGCACTGCAACTTATTCTAAAGGTTAGCTGAGTAAAAAGAGAAAATTCAACCCACCCAAGCTTTATGGAGGGTAACTTTTTGGCTCTTTTCATTTGTGATGTATATGTTAGAGATATGGCACCAAAGTGTATGCCGCCTTCACAAATTCAATGGCTGAAAGTGTTTTGCGCGTTGACTGTTAGACAGTTATAATTACTCAAATGTCACTGTTAGACATTTCATCCACAATGGAGGATTTGAGTTAAAGTTGCCTCACCACATATCTAAAGGTGCATGCATAGGGCTGGGTACCGAAACTCGGTTTCAAGTAGGAACCGACTAAAAAAGTTTGGTAAATACTGATGCCGAAAAATCTGTTTGTTTGGTGCCAACATTCGGTTTCTTGACTTTAAATGCCTGTGTCGATAAGCCAATAAATACACCGCAGTGATTTATCAGGTCACAAAAGTATGGCACAAACAGCACTGTCATCTTACTGATAAAACAGAAGAGCTGAAGAAACAGCGTGTCTACAGGTTGCAGTGTATCCAACACATCATGTCTGCGGTGTATGGCCTTTACAGTGTTTATATTCAGTGTAGAGCGCGTGTGTGTAAAGATGCAGCCAAACAAGTTAGCCTAAAGTTTTCCATGTGATCCTCCTCAGTGAAGGTAACTGTGTAGTTAAAGCTTAAAGTTATCTAAACAAAAAGCACATGCACTGCAGCTCTGTCTTTAATATAAAGTGCAGTATTTGAAGAAAACAAAATTGAAACTTGAGTGTCAGTGTCAGTGTGTGTGTCAGTCCACGTGAGGATCAGCTGTGTGCTCAGGTTCATTTACATGTGCTTTTATTTGAGTTGTAACTGGACACCTTATAGCTTACTGTATAGTACTGTGTTTTAAAATATGAATTAACATAGTTATAACTTAATTAAATGATTGAAAAGCATTTTCTCAATAATATTGGCCATTAATTTGCACTTACAAAAATACAGGCACGGAAGAAAGAACCGTTCAGGAACCAGTATCAAAAAGCAGGTATCATTAAGATATTTAAAAAAATAAAAATAAATAAAAAATAATAAATCAAACAGTACCTAGTCCCAACACTCCATAACTTTTCTGGTGAAGGTAATGCCACCTAGCCTGATTCATCAGCAGGTTTCACTTTGTGGAAACTGTCTGACCTCGTAGCTTTAGAATATATTCGCTCCATGGTAGGTGGGTACTTTTTCTCATTTAACCATTCGCTGCTATTTGGTCGTGATGTATGTAATGCGCCGCTAACGAGGCTAACTGGGATATTAAGCTTTTCCCAAATCCCGTAGGAAGAAGGGCAATAACGTCTTTCCCCTTGATAAAATTCACTGAACATTCTCTTTGTTCTGGCTTTAAATCATCGATCTTGGGAATCGTTGCTAACACAGAATATATGGCTCTTCAATGATTGGCTGGTGCCCGAATTCGCACTCTTGGTTTTTGCAAACCATCTAGTGTATTCTGATTCCTGATCTGGTCGCTGGAGAGAAATGAAATTGAGCAGAGGCACTAGGTGGTGCCAGCCTGGCTATAATGCCACCTGCTTGTCACCATGGGGTTGTATTGCTTTGTCTAGAATGTTAAACAGCAGAGCTTTAAACATATCTATCTACATGAACTATGTAACTTTTATGGTGGAGGATTTAGCATCTGCTCCATGGACATGTTATTGATTTCCCTAGATGTTCCACAGTACGGCATTAAACAACCTATCTCCATGGAGAGAAGATGGCACCACCAGGCCAAGATGTAGGTCAGATCTGTAAATACTAGGGGTGTAAGAAAAAAATCGATTCAGTGATATATCGTGATATTTCATTGCACAATTCTCGAATTGATTCAAAATGCATCCGAATCGATTTTCGAAATAATATTTTTCTCAAAAATTCATTAGTTACATTCACTGTTCTCATGATAAAAAATGCATTATATTTCATACAATTGTGTTCTCTTGAAAGTGAAGTTGACTCTATTATTAGAAGTAATTATTGATAAATCACAATATATCATCCATTGATTCAGTATCGGGATATATCGGGATATATTGAATCATGAAGTGCGAATCATGATATGTATCGTATCGTCAGACTCAAGGCAATGCACACCCCTAGTAAATACTCTTTGTTACTTTTACTTTTGGGTGGAAGATCAGGTTCAGAAGGAACATGTTGGTCACTTGTCCGAATTGAAATTTAATCCACAAAACTCAACTTGATTTGAAAAGGGCAGATGTGTTTTTAGGATATTGCGGCGACTGTTACTGCACAGATGGTATTACTTCATGATAAGAGCATTGCCAGAGCCTATTGCTCCAGTTTGAATACTCACCCCCGCCCACATCACCACACACGGAACATCTCTTTTTATGTCTGTCATCCTGAAAGCAGTGATGGAGCGCTGAAGTGACATGAAAATGACTCTGGGATAGGTGCATTTAAAGGTGCACTATAAAAGTTTAATTGGTCGGAATTCACAGGGAGTATCAAAGAATTGTGCCATCAAGTCATTTTTATTTCATGTCTCTTGTAGATATGTAGCTCATAGGACAGACACATAGAGGCTTAGGACAAAATGTTCTGTGGCGTTGGGAATTGGGAGGTTTGGTTCTTGTGTGCAGCCCCTGTGTGCGTTTCACCACAATAGGTTTGTTGTCCTAAATCGGGCTGGTATTATATATAGCCCTAAGACTTCATAGTAGCAAGAGGTTTTGGTGCTTGTGCTTACATCCCAGTGGGCCAATTTTTATACATAACCTTTTATAGACTATACAGTACAATTTAGATTTTTATCACAACTCATGTATACCAATTTTAACATGTCTTTAAGAGGTACCTAAAAACATCTGTTGCTTCAAGAACTTTGCCATGATCAGTTAGTAGGTGTTGGACAAGACAAAATTTTCCCAAGATAAGATGAGACATGATATAGCGTCCTCAAACGAGATGAGAAATTATTTTAAATAATTTATAATAATCAGATCAATTCCTAATTTTGGTCACATTATTTTAAATTGGTTTCTCTTTTTATAAATATACGTATATATTGTGCTGTGA